CTCCAAGTTTTTGTGTGGGTCCATTTTATGTTTGTCTCCTCGCTACCCTCTCTCTGTCGCATTATCTAGTCTACCACAATTAAGAAAATCCTTGGAGATACAGGATTTTCATCATGAGCTGACATTAGTTAGAGAACAATTGGAAAACCTGGGAGTACTGGACAGCTGTTTCGTCCTAGTTTGGGACTCTTCACAGTACGCACCCACCGGGATTCGAACCCAGGACCTTCTGGTTACAAGGCGAGCTCGTATACCATTAAGCCACTGGGACCCGATCCAATGGTCCATGAATTCTAACTTCTGCCAATTCACGACATTGGCTAGGGGTCGCGCTATGTCGTGAATTGGCAGAAGTTAGAATTCATGGACCATTGGATCGGGTCCCAGTGGCTTAATGGTATACGAGCTCGCCTTGTAACCAGAAGGTCCTGGGTTCGAATCCCGATGGGTGCGTACTGTGAAGAGTCCCAAACTAGGACGAAACAGCTGTCCAGTACTCCCAGGTTTTCCAATTGTTCTCTAACTAATGTCAGCTCATGATGAAAATCCTGTAACCAATCAAATCCCTACAAACCAACACTTGAATATCATTGGAGATAGTAAGAAGCCAGCCAGCCTTTTCTTACTCCCGTCTCCACTTCGAAGGATTCTGTGAATTTTACGTTGTGGATTACTTGGCATGCAGCATTGTCGTACAACTGTTGGATGAGATGTATAATTGTTGGCGGCACCCAGTAGTAGCGAATTAGTTTCCAAATCACCTCTCAGCAGATGATATGGTGTAAACTTAAAAGTAATCTTAGTGAACTATTATCAAATAATAATGAATTTAGTGAAGTGAACAGGGTTGTGTATGTCTAATAACAAGTTGGAAAAGCACAACGTAGACCTTAGGTAATAGAAATAATAAGGAAGGTCACAGGGTCGTCAAAAGTCAGGAATGAACATATGTCAATGAAACGAAAGGAAAAAGGGAAAGAATAATTTGCGATGAGAATTTAAATTGTCAATACCTTTAAAGGATTCGCTGACCTTATTGTAAGTCAAGGCAAACAGAGCGTTAGACATGCTTCTTCTGTTAACAAATACCGGTTCTTTTGGCATTGATTGCCACCTCTTCAGCTACTAATATAAGACGTAGTGAAGCTCCCCTAGATTGATCACCAGGAACGTGATAGATAACCCAGGACGCCTGCTCTGGTTATATTGAATGCTCAGTATCTACTGATTGAGCTAAACTACACTGTTTGCTCATATGGTTTTCACTTTACTCAACCATACAGGTACTTGTTCACGTGCGCTCATGGATAAAGCCCTCTGAGTACGGTCAGTGTAATTGGACCCATATGAGCAGTTAAATTCATAGATACACACTGATGAGGCCACCTTTGGTAATTCATCCGTCACTTGTTGTCAGTACTAGCCTAGCTGCAGAAAATGTTCTCTTTACTGCTCTACTAAGCTGACATTTCAGAATGTCAGGTGCAATCTACGGTATCCATCGTTAGCCTATCTTCAAGTATTGTCATATACTTTTTTTAAAGTTCTCTGGATATCCAATTTCCTACAGTATGTATATAGGAAAAAAGACGGAAGAAGCACAAAATGAAGAATATCTGCAGATGGAGATTTCAGTGTAAGGTTTAAGGATCTTCTTTGCTAAATAAGCAATCTGCTGGGTGTCGTCACCTGTAAGGTCCCAGGTTCAATATCTAGTGAAGAGTTGGTGTACAGGGCTGAAGAGTGCCAAAACTACGGCAAAATAACCGTCCAGTGCTCCCTGGTTTCCAGTAGTCTGTCTAACTGATATCATTTTGAATGTGCTTTTCATAAAATTTTTGAAAAAAACATTTCAACTAAATAGGTGTTTCTTTGATTGAATTAATACATAAAAGCTGGTCTTCCACCTTTCAGGATACTGTCCTGAAAAGTGTTTCCAGAAATCAAAATTTCATCTATTTTGGGCTAAAACAAACTTGGAACAAATTAACAGCATGAGTGACATCAAGAAATCAACCTAATATAAATTTAAAAATACGCATTTATTATTTTTAGATCAAAATTACAGTTTTGGAAAGTTGGTTTTGTAAACATTGGAGTGAAATTAGCAAGAGGGAGAGACTGTTTCAATTTCCCATGAGGCATATTAACATGCAGAGTAATCGAAAATTGTAAAAACAAAGACTTGGCAAAAATTAGATGGAGGTTTATGCAGCCTAATTGTTCTTTATTGCTCCTATTAATCTTTCCTAGGCTACTCATAAACGCCTCTGTCATAATGCGAATAGTATTCAAGGCTGTCTTTTGGGCCAGAATTGCACCACTAAGTTAGCTCGTCGCTACTGTAGTTGGCGGATACCTGAAATTATGTGAGAAATAGTCTAAATCTCTATTGTCTGACTTTCGACGCCCTCTTCATCCATAACTTTCCGTTTGCGTCTCAATCAGCTACAGCTAGAAGTCATTACAAAAGATAATATCCTTGCACAATCAAGTAAAAAACTCACCGATACCCCACTTGGCCCACGTTCTATGTGATAGAGATAGTGTTAGGCATGAAACTTACAACTTATTATGTAATTAGAAAACAAAATAGCTGTTTTATGTTCTCCTGTTTGCAATTTATGGTGAAATTATTTCAATTATCTTATAATTTTATCATTAACATTATTATCATTTTAGACTTTTTGTACATTTCTGACTGTTTTGTCCCTGTAAATGCCAAATGTTGCTATCATCAGTTCCGGCTACCTACACTCCGTATTGTTTTGTTGTTGTAGATATTGAGTTAATCAGATGCAATGTTTTGCAAAGTGCTGAGAATTTCATGATGTATCGTAAATTTCGTTTTAGAATAAAGCAAACTGTTATTATTAAAAACAACAGGGTTGAATGAAAATTATCAGTTTACGGTTTTAAGAATAACCCGATTCATGCAAAAGGCTTCCATCTGATATCGACTATTTGGAATGTGCCATGTTCAGTAGAACGCTGTGTGTCACCAACATATAGGATGTATGTAGAACAAGTCAATTAATTGTTCATGCTTATGAGGACAGCAAATATCAAGTACCCATTGAGTCATGAAAAGCGTCGGTGGCACAGCGGTTAGGACGCTCGCCGACCATGCACATGGCCCGGGGTTCGATCCCCGGCCAACGATCTCCTTAACCTCGCTAAGCCGGTAATAAGGCTGGTAAAGAGGAAAGGTTGGGCATGAGGCTAGCAACCCCATCCTGTAAAATAAACACTGCTACAGAAACTTCAAGCCACTTGCTTGAAGCCCTATGTTCCACTGGGAACGTGAAGGAATAAAAAAAATTTAAAAAATTGAGTCATGAAGAAAATAAAAGACAAATTCAGCGAAGAAAATGTTCTTTATCGATGAAATCATCTTCACAGGCTGTACAGTCGTATTTATATTTACCAAAAATGTGTAGAAGTCCATTATTTAGTAATAGTGTGTGACATATTCGATATAATCACCCAGAAGTGACTACAAAAGTGAAAATAAAAGATGTAAATTATGTAACACTCAACGGCACAAAGAGAGAAAGAGTTAGATATTTGATAAGGTTGAAATTGTTATTGAGTATTGAGAAGAAAGGCAGTTGAGTGTCAATTTAACAAGTGTGAAGAAGGTGAGATAACTTACATATGGAACATGTGAGAGTGATAATAGAGAATTAATTAATAAAGTAAAGGTTAGTTATATTGGCCACACAAAAAGCATACTTTCCAAATGCATCTCTGAGCATTATCAGGCATGTTTATCAAAATGACAATACAAGACAGTTACTAGCTATATGCTCGAGTACTTGGTGAGCTCAAGCCACACATCTTCACCAGAGTCGTCTTTCAACATTATCTACAAGGTGAGACCAAATAGTACAAAGGGTATTAGGTTCCTACATTTGTGTCTGGCGGAGGCGTTGGTGATTCGTCAATACAAACCCGAACTCTGTATATACAAAATGTTTGTCCAGTCTTTTATCATACCAAAGTCTTAACCTCTTCATTAGTTCCCTGTAAAAAATTTTTAATTTCTAATGATTACTTAGCTTTTACTTTAATAATTAGTTCACTATTATCACTCTAACAAGATCTCTCACTCAAGATCAGATGGACGGAAAAAATCAGCAACATGGATCTCTGGCGATTAGCGAACCAACCCAGCGGGAACCAACTGTGTAACAAATAAGCAGAAAGAAATGGAGGTGAATTGGCTATACTCTGAGAAAACAAACCATCAAGTGACATCACACGCCAGACCATTGCTCGAGTGGAACCCGAGTGAGAAGCGGTGAGTTGGTCGTCAGTGCAAGGGTGAGGTGATATGGAGGAGGTCATGTGAAGAGGAGAGGAATTCATGTGGGCTGACGTGGAGCCAGTTGAATGTGTTGGCAGAGAACCGAACGCAATGGAGACTTGTGGCTGAAATCCTATGTTCCTCTGGGAACTAAAGGAAACAATAATAATAATCACTCTCACAAGTTCCTTTAGCACGTTTTCTCACTCTCTTCACTTTTGTTAAATTGACACACAACTGCCTTTCTTCTCACTACTCAATAACCATTTCAACCTTATCAAATTTCTAACGCTTTCTCGCTTTGTGCCATTGAGTGTTACATAATTTGCAACTTTTATTTTTACTTTCGAAGCCACTTCTAAGTAATTATATCAATTTCATCATCCCTATTACTCAGTAATGGACTACCATCCATATTTGGTAGATAGAAATACGACTGTGTACAGCGTCTGAAGATGATTTCGTTGGTAAAGAAGTTTCATTGATATTTCAAGTAGTTTATCAAATAAAAACTCGTATCATGTGATAACCTTTTCAAGTTACTACTGATATTTCTGTCAATTTGAGTATCTATTCTAAGTAGGGTTTTAAAAATTTGGTTGTTTGTCCATTGAGTCTGCTAAAGTGAGCCGGTTCATATTAGCGCTGATGGAAATAAATTTATATTCCTTTTGAATTCATTCAATCACAGCTTACAGTATTGGCAATCGATGGTGGTGGCTCTCATGCACTGGACAGTCGATCGCACAGAACAAAAGACGTCATCGCAAATTATCATACAGCAACAGCACAATTACGGATAAGAATATTAGATGAAAATGACAATGCACCTGAATTCCGTGGTCCAAGACAGTTTGCTGTAGAAGAAAATCAACCACCACACACGTGGATTGGTGATCTTCAAATACTAGACAGAGATGAAGGACTTAACAGTGAAGTGACATTTAAAATTTTACCCGGGAGAACAAGCAGCACCGGCAATGAACAAAATTCAAAGAAGATTAATAATAATCTAACTCTGGAATATGATCTGCCATTTTACTTGCTGAATAATGGAAGTTTGTTCACCTCAGAAATACTGGACAGGGAAAATCAGGTAAATAATTTGTTCTCCTGATTCATATTTCCATGGTATTTACATTCTATTAAAAAGCACGATATTCAGCGAAAGACTCTCTTCAACAAATTTATTATCGAGCTGTACAATAGTACATATATGCATTTTTAAGAAGCTGTATCCCGCAATGAAATCTAAACAGATGTTCTTTTATGTTCCTTTTTGTTCCGTGTGGAACGTAGGGCCTTAAGCTTGATCCTTTAAATTCCAGTAGCAGTGCCGTGTTTTTACGGGGTGAAGTTGATAGCCTCACGTCCATCCGCCCCTTTTTCTCTGGCTTATAATAGAAGTAAATGGTGTAATCCAGCAGGGAATCGAACCTCGGGCCACGAGCATAGTTGGATGACATTGTACTGCTGAACCACCAAGGAGGGACCAAGAGTTCTGGCATATAGGTGCTCGTGTTGACTGAATGTCCACGCTAAGCACGGCGCCGATATGAATGACCTGTCGGAGGGTGGGTTGTCCAGGTCGATTAAGGAGGGACGGACGAATGTAGGGGAAAACGAATGTGTGAATACATAAGGTAATACTAATGATATGAAATGCTATTAAAATATTTTTGATTATAATCATAGTTAAATATCAGTTCATAAAACAAATAATGTCATACATACAACAGTTTATAGAATGTATAGAAGGCAGAAAGGGATGTAAGATTATAGAATTAGTAGAATTAATTGACAGTTAAAATATTACGCAACATCATTTGAAGTTTAACATTGCAAATGGCTTTTACGTCTAAAAGCATAAAGAGGACAAGTGAAATAATACCGGGAACAGTTCAGATTGAGAGTATTAGTATTAATATTCTTAGTAATAACGGGAGAGTACATACATCAAGTAAACAAATGTTCTATAGTCAAGTTAGAAAAAATGGTCTCCTCTAGCTTCAGAAGCTTACAACGAAGAAAATGCGTCAAGTTAGCATGAGTTCGATAGATGATCTTAAAATTTTGGTCAGCGTTGATAGAGTGTCAGGAGTCGATGAAGTTTCCTAGCAAAGAGCTTCACACACCCTCCCTTTCTCCCGTGTATAACCCTGCTGAAATTTACTCTTGTATAGATTTAGAAAGCACTCTCTGGTTACGGCTAATGTACGTTGCTCCACCAGAGCTGGTGAACTTATAGGTGCTCATGAAGTTGACCAGACGAGAGAATTTATCTTTTACCGAGATAGAGAACAACATACGTCTGGCTAAAAACAAATTTCTTTTCTATGGTAAATCTGAAGGAAGGATTGCAGTTGTTATACAATGACAAAATATTACTTGAGACAAACATTAGTAAATTGTCGTAAGCAAGTTCACTTAGTAAATTATTACCGTGCATTCGCATTTATATACATTTTATTACTCATTGTCATATGCTTCCTGTTGTAAGCGATGCAATACTGTTTGTTACCTTCAGATATACCTTTGTGTAATTGATAAATAAATGTCAGAAAGTCATAAAATATACCTTTGCTAAAAATTAGTGAGAAAATTACAAGGAATTTCATGTCACATTTCTCGCTATATCCATGAAAAGCGCATAATTAATCTTGTTATTTTACTTTCACAATTGTCTACCAGCTTCCATGTTCATGACAAAGTAAATGTCTGAGCTAAACGAAATTGACTTTTTAGTTCTAAAATTTTTGCAAAGAACTTGAGATTAAAATGTCAACACAAGTTTAACAACCACACTGTACATTGTTTGATTAAGTTTAAAAAAGAATATAGATGACTAAAAATTGCAAAAGTGACACAATTCTACAGTAAACAGTGAGTTTTATGTCAACAGGTAAGAACAGGCGGATTGGAAGAAAGGCTACTTATTCAAACTTCCGAAGAAAAGATACTTAAGTCAATGCAAGAACTGGCGCGGCATTATCCTCCTGTCCATCCCGAGCAAAATACTAGGCCGCTTCATCCTGGAGAGAATCAACTACGCCTTGGATGAAAAACTTCGAACGGAACAGGCTGGATTCAGGAGGAACAAGTTATGCATCGATCAAATCTCAACACTAAGGATCATCACTGAACAGAGACTGGAATGGCAGTCAGCTCTCTACCTCACTCAACTTCATTGACTTTGAAAGGGCCTTCAACAGCGTCGATCGAGAGGTGATTTGAAACTACTTCGCTACTACCAGGGGTGCCGCCAACAATTATACATCTCATCCAACAGTTGTACGACAGTGCTGCATGCCAAGTAATCCACAACGGGAAACTCACGGAATCCTTCGAAGTGAAGACAGGGAGTAAGACAAGCGCTGACTGCCTACTATCTCCAATGATTTTCCTGATTGTGGTAGACTGGATAATGCGACAGACAGCAGGCCGGGCAGCCAGGAAACAGGCATAAAATGGACCCACACAAAAAACTTGGAGGATCTGAACTTCGCCGATGATATTTGTCTGATTTCCCGCAAACTGGAAGATATGCAAGTGAAAAGCAACAAGTTGGCAGAAAATGCATCAAAGATTGTACTTCACTTCAGGTGAACATAGAGAAAACAGAGGTGATGAAGATTCCTGGCCAACACCAACAGCAACAGCCACAACGACAGACAACAATCAGCCAGCATAAATGGGAGAAATCTGAAAGAAGCAACCTCCTTCACCTACCTACCGACCTAGGAAGCATCGTTTCAACTGCAGACGGACGGAACTGATGAGGATATCATCAACGCGAGGATTGGAAAATCAAGGTAAGCTTTCATTGCTCTCAAGTCTGTGTGGAGGAGATAAACAGCACTCAGCATGAAAATGAGATCCGGATTTTCAACTCCAATGTGAAATCAGTGTTAGTACATGGATCAGAGACTTGATGTTTCATGAAGAGCACTTCATACAAAGTATACAGCTTCATCAATAGCTGTCTTCGCTTAATACTACTGAAGATCAGATGGCCGGCCAGAAAAGGTCAGCAATTGGGAGGGATCTGTGGGAGCAAACCAACCAACCAGGAACCGACTGTGCAACAAATATGCAGGAAGAAATGGAGGTGGACTGGATACTCTGAGAAAACTGATATAACATGCCAGGCTCTGGAGTGGAACCAGAATGGGAAGCGGCAAGTTAGTCTTCAGGCAAGGGTGACATGGAGGAGGTCATGGGAAGAAGAGATGAAAGCATGTGGGCAGACATGGAGCCAGGTGAAATTGTTTGCAGAGTACCGAACGTGGAGACGTGTGGCTGAAGCACTGTGTTCCTTTGGGAACTAAAGGAGACAATAATAATAATAGGTAAGAAGAGTCTGAAGGGGAGGAGAAACTACGAGAAAGATAATGAACTTAACACCAAGTCTACTTATCTATTACTACTATTATTCTCTTGGATTCTGAGAAGAACATATCCGTTTAATCCTGTTCTCCTCACTCCTTAGGTGGATCCAAGACTGATCATAAGCCTTCATCTCCTCCTCACATAATCAGTTCCATATCACACTCGGACCACGCCCAACTCATCATTTCCCATTCGCAGTGTAGTCAATCAGTGTTCTTCTAAGTGTGTTTCTGATTCATCTTCATTTTCCTTGGGATATTTGTTGAGCAATGGGTTATTGATTAGTTAATCCCCACAGTGTTTTGTTGTTAATTTTTTCCTGTTGGTCATCTGTTCTACAGTATGCAGTTAAGGAAGCTGTTGGTAAAAGTATGCAGTAGCCTGTTGGAAATACTACTGGTGACCCACGTGACACGTTTTTGTCCCATACAAAGAAATGATTTAAAATTCGTGTTGGGAATCCGAATTCTATTCTTTCTGCTGAGTGGAGCAGATTTCTAAACAGATTTCGGAGTGATGAAGGTTTGCCTTTCCTATATGATTCTGGCTGGTTGTGACATCCTCATCCGTTCCGCCTGTAGTTGAAACCAAGATGACCAGATAAGTAAAATGAGTTGCCCCTTTGAAATTTGTCCCAGAGCTAGTGATTGTTGCCTGTTGTAGTTGGTCGGTGAGTTTCTGCATCATCTCGGTCTTCCTCATGTTCACTTAAAGTCCTGTATTTGCTGCTTGTTCTGCTAACTTGTTGATTTTCGCTTGCAGATCTTCGAGTTTAGGTGGTATTAGAAATAAATCGTCCGCAAAGTATATGACTAGCACACATATTTATTATTATTGTCTCTTTTAGTTCCCAAAGGAACATAGGGCTTCAGCCACACGTCTCCATTACGTTCGGTTCTCTGCCAACACTTTCACCTGGCTCCACATCTGCCCACATGCTTTCATCTCTTCTTCGCATGACCTCCTCCATGTCACCCTAACCTGAAGACTAACTTGCCACTTCCCGTTCAGGTTCCACTCGAGGAATGGCCTGTAGTGTGATGTCACTTGATGGTTTGTTTTCTCAGAGTATGACCAATCCACCTCCATTTCTTCCTGCATATTTGTTTCACAATTGGTTCCTGCTTGGTTAGTTCATTCCCAAAGTTCCCTGTTGCTGATCTTTTCTGGTCGGCCATCTGATCTTGAGTAGTATTGAGCAAAAACAGTTGTTGATGAAGGTCTGTAGTTTGTTCGAAGTGCCCTTAGTGACGCGGCGTCAAGTCTCTGATCCATAAAGTAGCACTGACTTCACAATGGAGTTGAAAATCCGGATCTCATTTTTCATGCTGATTACTGCTGATCCTCCACACAGACTTGAGAGTAATGAAAGCTTGCTTTGCTTTCCCGATCCTCGCTGCTTTGATATCCTCATCAGTTCCGTCCACCTGTAGTTGAAACGATGCTTCCCAGGTAGCGTAGGTGAAGGAATTTGTTTTTTTCAGATTTCTCCCATTTATGCTGGATTGTTGTCTGTTGTTGTGGCTGTTGCTTTGGTGTTGGCCAGGAATCTTCATCACCTCTGTTTTCTTTATGTTCACCTGAAGTGAAGTTCTATCTTTGATGCTTTGTCTGCCAACTTGTTGCAGCATATATATACATATATGTAAAGCTGATGATGACCCAAGTTTTAAATATTTATATTGGTACAATAAATATGATCTGGCTGATTTGTACCGTCCAAATGCTATTGCCTCTAATTATTCAACTGTGGAGAGGCAGCGGTTCATCACCTAAAAGGGATCACACTATGTCTTGAAACTAAATTATTACATTTTTGGCTGAAATCGGTCATGCGAGTGAATTTTTAGAAAGCTTCTTCTGGATTGTAATATATATACAGACTTGACTGGCCTTGCTATTTATAAATTCTTAGTGAGAAATAAGAATACGTTTTTTAAACAGACACAACTCTGCATCATATGACAAAATGTTTTGTCTTAATCAAGCTTCAAAATCTTTAAAATGTATATTTCTAAAATCTCAGTCACTAGACATTTTTAATTGAAGTCATAAAAAAATTACACAATTTCACAAGGATTTTTAATTTTTGCTTCAGGCATGACTAGAATGAAGATTAGTTTTGTCATTGTTCATGTGATTTTTGATTCTGAGAACTGTTCTCTTTGTTGAATCGCTTTCTTAAGTTCCGTATTATTGTCACTCTACTAGACACACAATCAGAAAATAAACACAGAGACGGTTATAAGCTTTCAATCCACTTGCATAGGTTTCAGCTGAGAGTAAACCATTTACAAGTTTCTATGAAAAAAGAACCATTTTCAAGCCTGATTATGGATTGATATCAGTTGGAGAACCACTGAAAACTAGCACTGAAGTACTGGATAGCTGTTTCATCGTAGTTTGTGAATCTTCGGCAGACAAGGCGAACTCGTTAGCCTTTCAGTCACTTGGATTCCATTCATTGGCTCATGAATTCCTACTTCTACCAGATCGTGGTTTTAGCGCGATCACCAGCCAGTGTTCTTGACGAGTATTCTTCTTAACTGCCAACCTGATGGACCCCACTGGTCATGACTTCTCATTAGAACCCTAGGCGATTTCGTTCTGCTACCGATAACTAGAGAGCATTGATCCGACCTAAGGGCTCGCCTTGTGACCAGAAGGTCCTTGGTTCAAATCCCGATGGGATGCGTCGTGCCGAAGAATCATATACTGTGATGAAACAGCTATTCAGTACTTCCTGGTTTCCAATGGTTGTCTAACTGATTTTAATCTGTGGCCGAGCTGGAAACGATTCAAACCCCCCACAGATCAGTTCTTGGGAAAAAAATTTCTTTGCACAGCCAGTAGCAGCTATAGCTGAGCAGCCATTCACATAACACACTTAGAGGTTTTAAACGCTGACACCTGATTTCGAATCACAGTGAAAATATATCATCAATCAGTGAGACACAAATACATCGGGCGGAAGGGGTTCATTCATAAAAGACGAAATGCACATTCTGATAACAGAAGCTAATAAAATTGTTTTATGTAAAGTTTCTGTTTTAGAAATTGTGCAGAGATCGATTTAACCAGAAACATTTTAAGGTTACACCGTAACTTTGTTGTATTCTCCTGTTTTCTCTCCCCGTTTTCTTTTTAGTCACACCACTGCTTTGAAGTTGTTGTCTCCGACACGGGTGGAAATAAGTCCTATTCTACCGTTGATACCATATGCATACGTGTATTGGACACAAATGATAACAAACCGTATTTTATTGAAATTAAAGGAGTAGATCAAGGTGATTAATGCATTATCTTTCGTTTTTAATCATTTTATTCGACTATTTACTCATATAAAGTTTGATAAGTATCAAGTAGAAAATGATTTTATTAAGGTTTTTATACTTAAATATTTAAATAATACCTCTAACCAACAGTTCCTATAATTAGTTTGAACAAAGGAGGAACGAAAATATTCACAGGATAGTACGACCTTGAATATCAATCTGGTGCTCACTAGTGAATGGACCTGTTCAGGTAGGTAGTTACCTGGGTTCTAGTTGGAAGTCGTGACCAGTGGGGTACAGAAGGTCGGGTGTGAGGACAAATACTCACCACCGATGACATTCGCTAGTGGTTGCGCCATATCGTGAATTGGCAAAAGTTAGAATTCACCGACCGCTGGACCGGTTCTCAGTGGCTAAATTGTCTAAGAGCTCACCGTGTAACCAGAAGGTTCTATGTCCGAACATTGGTGGTGGGCGCTGAAGAGACGAAAACAAGACTGGCCAAACAGCTGTCCAGTACTCTCAGGTTTTCCAGTGATCATCTAGCCGATGTTAGTTCATGATGAATTCGTATAATTTCGACGATTCTCGTCAAATGCGTACATCCTTAACAACATGAAATTATAAGGTACAAAATTTATGAACTTAATTTCTATCAAACAGTGATAGATAGAAATTATGAGCAACATAATTTCAAGAATGATGTAAGTAGACAAATTATTCAGTGTTAAAAGGACTAACTATTTATAATAATAATTCGAAAGGGGATTAGACTTCAGATCTTGATTAAAAACGTGGATTGTCTGGAGGAAGAATATAAGATCGAACAAGAGAGTGCATTTATACATAATATGATGGAGATTTCAAGAGGGTGGGCGTAAAAAGTGACAAATAATTAAGTAAATTTGGTAAGCTAATAGTGAGTTCAGTCAAGTAAGTGAAAATCAAAATTTAGTGAAATATTACGCAACAAGAGCGAATACAAAACACAAGAACTAAACAATTGCAGTGACCATGGTAGTGGGAGATTAACCACGCTTTCTATATACAGAGGTCGAATCAATGTCTTTTGACAGCAATGGATTCTGCGAACCAAAGTAATCATGGTTTACTTTGTGTATTGATTATTTTGCAAGCCTGAGTAATTTTCACTGAATGTATTGTTTTAGTAGGAAAGTCAGTTGTTTTCATTGGATTGTGGAAGATATTTATTGCAGGTTGATCCTACGACCCTTGGATGAGTCGTGCACAATTTTCTCACATTTGACCTTTCGGAATTATAAATGTGCATCTCAAAAGAAAATCTCTCAGGTGCCTTTTGAAAATTATGATCTGTACGCCAATATCAATGCTTCGGGTGTTATCTCTTCGCATCGGTGGTTCTCAATAGTAGAATGGTTGGCAAACACATTTATGGTCTGGGTTCGAGAACTGGTTAAACCATGCCTAGTTTACTAGCTGATTGTAAATTCTGGAGTGAAGTCATTGAGTTCACCCTATAAATCAGCTCCACACCTACTGAAACTACAAAAGCTTGAGGCAATATTTCCCTCTTGGAACAGAAAGGAACTATAAAAAGCCTGCCACGTGACACTAAATAATGAGTAGAAGTCAGAAAGTTATTTGGCTAAGTCCTATAACAGGAATCAATAAGAATTCTAGGTTCAAGTAAAAAGCGAAAATTATTCACTATTTTCAAGAACTTATATTTACAAATCAAAACGGTAAATTTTATGGCATGAGCTAATGAATTTCTAGTTGTAAATGCTAATGATGACTTGTTGAACAATCGTTGGTTGTGAGCAAGTCTAACTGAAATAACTATAAATATAAGCATAAAAAATGATTAATGGATTAAGGGACGCATTGTTTTAATCGAGATCCCTGGAGATTAGCCAAATTCACTCACAATACGAACAACACGAACAGTTTCAACAGATTTTCGTATACAGATTTCTTTCAATGAACTTGAATAGAGAAAGAACAACAGGTGGAATGATGATAAAACGGATCCGTTTTGCTTTGTCAATATCTTATCAACCTGAGTAGTGAAATTAACTATTTCTGTTACAGTTCTAATATGCTTTACATCGTTGGAAAAACAAGAGTTTGAACAATTACCAAGAATAATCAAGGTATATATCGAAATCCTAATCCTAAGTTAGTTGAATACAAGTGACTGCTGTAATTATATAAGTAGTGCGATCCAAGTATTTCGCGAAAATTAACAAGGGTAGTAAAAAGCTTTCGAGCGTTGTAAATTGCAACAGGGCTGAGGTCAATCTATTATATTTGAGCTTCCTTCAACTGATTATAACTTGTAAAATAAAATTTATTTGATGATAAATCAAAATATACGTCATACGTGTTCAGAATGCCCCAAGGGAACTTAAAATATTACATTCGTGGAGATTTAACTGATTAGTGTCAGCAACCAATTAAATCTACAGTGAAAGGTAAAGATGAGAGGTAATATAATGCGTTATGACGCAGTATAACGAAGAATTTTATAGGTGAATATTATTCTTTCTCATTCGTAAATAAACCTCATCCAGACATTGATCAGAACAAAACACTCTATTCAGCGAAGAGGCTCTTTTTGGCAAATTCGTTCACTAAGCTGTACATTCTCATTTTTGTACAGTTTTCTTTTCATGAAAGGGGTTGGCTACAAAAGTGATGAGTTGTCATAATCAGAGATGTTATTTCGGTCAGTGAATAAGAGAAGTTGAATAGATGTATTAGACTTCCGTGATAAGATAAATAATTATTTTAAGGGATGAATTGTAATCAGAATGCATGTAGATATAAAGTAATATATGAAATTTCGTAAGAGTTCTAATGAAATACAAGAGTTATAAAAAGGTTTAAGAATAAAGAAACAAAGATTAATATATGTGTAAAACTTGGGCACTGTGGTAGTAAGTAATTCCATATTAGTTTGTTTATTAGATTTATGACACAGTCAGAGAAACAGTATTATTTACTGGATGACGTTTCGAACAAAATTTATTGTTCATAATCATTAATTCATTAATTGATATGATTATGAACAATAAATTTTGTTCGAAACGTCATCCAGTAAATAATACTGTTTCACTGTGTGATATATCAAATAAACAAACTAATATGAAGCAAAAATTAAGTTGACAGAAATCGATAAGGTTGTCATCACGGTAGTAGAGATGTTTGAGCAGGCTTCTTTTCTATGCATATCTCCAGTTTCTCTATCTCACTGTTTAGAGCTTCAGTGGTTCAAAGGAGATGAGGGCGTATTGTCTTTGGCAGGCTATTCTTGAGATGGAATGACCAGTGTTGACAAGGTGTTCGATTATCTTACCCCTCATAGAGTTACTACTACCTGTATGATGGTGCTACGTATTATGTGACTCACGACAGAAAACTCAGGGAAGTCTTTGAATTGGAGACAGAGGAAGCAGCCAACTGCCATCTTAAGTGATATGTCTGATTAAAGCAGACTAAATCCTGTGACGGACAGTGGGGAATGATATGATCGACATACAGTGGACGAACAGAAAGACAGTGGCAGATTTGAGGGGATAATTTATGTCTAATTCCTTGCAAACTTGGAGATTTACAAGCAATAACCAACAAGTTGGCACAAGAAGTAGTGAAGATTGGACTTCGAGTGAAAGCAGAGAAAAAAGAGGTGCTGAAGATATTCATCGACCAACAACAGTAAGCACCAACCAGCATCAAAAGGATTAGCTTGATGGAGGTCTCTTCTTCAGTTATCTAGTCAGCATAATTTCAACTACAGATGGCACAGGTGAGGGTGTCAAAGCCAGCCAGCCAGGATTGGGTTGACGTCATACAAATGATAACTTTATAGGCTAAACGGGAACTGAAAAGGGTCCACCAGCTAAGATAGCTTAGTTGTTCAAGCTTCACTTATCTTTTTGAATGGGAAATACAGTTTAAGATATATTCAAACCGTGACAGAAGTTTGTCTTTATTGTTCTTTCCACCGCCTTCCAATATCTTTTTTAACTGCACCATACACTTCTTTGAGTTTCGCTATGAGAAGTGTTTCTAGGCTTCCTACAATACAATCTTCGACTGTTATTTAATAAGAGGATACTATGGAGTCTGAGGTATTTTCCCCAAGTTCACTTTCAATAAATATGTCTCTAATCCCTCCAGATATTTACTGCGGAAATAGACGAATGTATTTATGTGTGTCATTCATTATTATTTTACTCAATGTCGGTTTCACTGTGCTTCTATCTGTCTCGCTAATTTTCAGCTATAATTACTAAAGAATCAACCGCGAATAATTTATCCTACTCAAAGTCATCTTCAATTATTCAACCTGGTTTGTTTAATCAAAGCTTCATACAATCAGAAACTTTACAAAATTCTGTTGTACATTTATCAGTGAATGAAGCACCAGGTTATTGTGTACTGATAGCTAAAGCAGTTGATAATGACGAAGGTATAAATGCACAACTACGATACAGCATTGAACAGTATTATTCAAATATAAGTCAGGAGGAAACTACAAAAGTACGTGAAATACTCAATGCATTCACAATGGATCCTAAAGATGGACAACTTACACTGACAAGGTATTTACGCTGGTATGAAATAGGCTCTTATGAAATAATACTAAGTGTGGAGGACAATGGAAAGCCAGTACAGAGAGCAGAGAAGGTAAGCAAAGTATATGTAAGCATTGAATCATTTTGTCTGATAATTTTTGACCTTTATATAATTAAATATGTCAGATGGACCTTAGGGAATTAAAGTAAATAGGAGACATTTATATATGAATAGAAAAGAATAAAAGGTGATAGGTGTCTAAAAGAATGCCTAATAGTTTATGGAATTTGGTGGTATGTGGTCCTATATGAATTTGTTAGTAATAATTGGATAAAATAATATTAATCAGACATCACGTAACTCAGTGTTACTCGATGTGAAGTATAGACCGATCCTTGATTTGAATTTTAGATTTTCTCGTCGATTGATTGAACCGAAGTGCTCGGTCTCAGGCTGACATGTCAACTTCTTGTGCAGATGCATCGACGATGTCTGGGCATGTAATTAGAGGTTAATTAATGGATGGTGACTAGCAGTGGAATCCAGGACAACGAGCATTCGTCCTATTTGGGACTCGTCGGCTGGATGTACCTGCATTCCCCAGTGACTGATGATGTTCCCACCGAGACTCGAATCCAGTGCCCATAGTTTCAAACGCCAAAGCGTTATCCACCAGACCGCTTGTGCCACGAGAGCCACCTCTTGTGCAACGGGTCATATTAATTATTTAATTGAATTTTAGATTTTCCCGTCGACTGATTGGACCGAAGTGCTCGGTCTCAGGTTGACATGTTGGCTTCTTGTGCAATTGAATTGCGTTGGTGGCACAGTGGTCAGTACTCTCGCCGACCATGCCGGCGCACACCCGATATCAATGGTTGGCCTGCAAAATTTGGGCTACCGATACACATGCTGAAAATTCCATACTTGTACCAAAAATACTGTGTGGTTTCAAGCTGTAATAAAAAAAATGAGCATCCTGGATTCCACTGCTAGTCACCATTCACCAATTAACCTCTACAGACCGATCCCTTATGATAGATTTCCTTCGTCTTCAAGAAATACCCAGCGATATTTTGAAAGACAATTAGAAATATGCGTGAGTACTCTTCGCGACTCAAAGACATACGTGGATGGTTAAAACAATAAGAATTAGAGGAAATTTGATGCACTGCGATGGATGGGAATTCAGACAGCTCAGGGATTTAAGCAAGCCGCTAACGGTGAGGAATTCGCCCTGTTTCGTAATACTGCCAATTAAACATTGTTTCTTGAGCGATTTATCACTCTCATACCATCAATTACGGAGCTTCTATAGCTGAATTTCAACTTTTGTAGGCGTTTTCAGATCTGTGCAATCCTTTATCTGTGACATTTAGCTGGAAAACAAATGACGCATAGTTCAGATGTTTTTTTGTCACTCAGATAAACCGTCCATTTCGTTACATAATTTTGAGACTGAGTTATAGCAAACAGTATCTCTTCAAAGAATATTTTTTATTTTATGATAGAGTAGGAATTTTAAAACTGTACACTCCAGTGATACCAGTATTATTTAAAATCTTCCCTGTGTGTTTTGGAGACTGATTCGACAAACGAAGGTTAAATATGTATGATAATAATAATCACTTTATTCCATACAATAATAACGACACAGAATGGAATTTCTAGCCTTTTTATACATATTGCAACAGTTTAGCTCCTTTTATAAACATGTACATACATAAAATTTAAAATAATATCAGTAATATTAATAATGAAACCACTATAAACAGAATGTTGGTGGATACACATATAATTATAATAATAATCTTTGCTTGTGCTGTGCAGTTCAGTTACTGGCTTAAAAGGTTTATAAGTTCTTTTCTGACATTCGCCTCTTCCTTCACACAAAACTTGTGCTAAATAGGGTGGAATGGTAGAACTTTTATATTTAGTAGCGGTACGAGTGTAAATTCTTATGAAGTTTCTTCTGGACTTATCTGAAGATATACATGACGAAATTTGAGAACAAAGAGGATGTTCAATGGTATCAGACAAGATAACTTTAGCTAACTGTGCTGCGAGAATCGAAGTGTCTATTGACAATAATGTCAGTTGGCTGAGTCAAAGACACACCACTACCCCGTCTTACAGTCCGCAGTGTTCTATTTGATATCATATAGTCTTTCTTGAGAATTCCAGGAAAGAATAAGGGGAAACAATAAAGAAGGTGAATGGGTAGAATATATGAATCAATATATTGTAGGCGAAGAGGTTGAGTTATGCCAACAGAAAGTCTCAAATTCTTTACGTAATAAGTCAAACGAAAAATCTTCTTAGAAATCAACAGCATATGTGACGACCAACAGATATTCCAAGAGAAACTGATGTCGAGATGAGAGATATTCGATTTACTCTCTATCACAATGTCGTCAATATTACAGAAATCATGCGGCTGAATCAGTCCACGCACGCAAGTCTTGTTCGCATTTGAAACTAAAACCAGCAATATGATATTTAGATGGATTCAGTTTAAGACCATTTAGGTGAGACCATTTGTTAACTTCAGAGAAGAATCTATTGATATTAAAAACCATCCAAAGCAGAAACTACTGGGACAGAAATGGTTAGATCATTGGAATGTTTGATGGAGTTGGCTTTGGAAGAATATGGAAGGTCATGCAAAAAAAGAAAAAGAATGCAGAGAGTACAGAGCCTTGAAGCACACCAGTTTCCTTTATCAACGAAGTGGAGACCTTTCCATTCAAAAGAGTATGCTGTTTCCTACCCGAAGAATAAGAAAACAACCACCTTGTGACCGGGGACTCAAATTTCACTGAAATCAGCTTGAGTAGTAAAATTGCCCTAAGAATAGAGTCAAAAGCATCAGTGTAGTCTTAAAAGGAGGTTCGAATAAATTTTGCGACTTTATCACGAATTGAAACAATATTGTGGTAGAGTAAAACGACAGCATCTGACCTGAGTACTTGATTACCTCCATTCATGCCAGTATCTGACCCCAAATTCTGAATCAAGCTGAAAATCCTAGTTGAGTCACATAACAGAAATGGCGTTCAGCGAAGATTTACTCTTTTCCACCATATCATTCTCAAGCTCTACTCTGGCATATATATCTATGTATATAAATGTAAAATTTTCTTGGCAACATAAATAAAGTTTCCAAAGACGTGTCATTAGAACTGTAAGTTTTAAATGACAATTATTTAATACAAAAAGCATTAATCTGTTAGAAACTAAAATAAAATTAAGTATTTTGTATGATGTAACGTAATTGACGTAATTGAACAAAACTCTACTAGAATTGAAATGCGATAATGAGAGGAGAGTAAGAAAAATAATATCATTGAAAAACTGAAAAGAAAATTGGACTCATATAGGCACGTATCTAGTGTTAAGACAAATTAGGTCCATCGTAAATTCAGCTACTGAACAAACTTCTATTGTATGCAGAGTTCAGAATTTAATATATGGATCGGTAAAGCGTCATGGGGGGGGGAAGAAGTTTGATTCATACTCCATTTGGCAAGATTTTGGAGGGCCCCTTAGATTACTGTGAAGTTGGTTTGAGGGTTCTCTCTGTTACTGGAGTCGATGACGTGTTCCAGGATAGAACAACTCTTTTTTGTAAAAAAGTGGGGGTAAACGGAAACATTTATTATTTATGTGTGACTGTATAGCTTGAGAATGATATCGATAAAAGAGTAACTCTTCTCTCAACGCCTTCTCTTTCAGATTGTTAAAGGTAACTTTAGTTAAATGTTTACGTAATCGAGTCAGGAATTCAACTGCTAAGTCAGGAGATTTAAATAATGAAATTGAAAAAATAAGAAAAACATTGGCATTGAAACATTACCACTAGAATTTATTCAGAAATGTTTGGAGACCCAAATCAAAAATAAGGGGACAGTGAAAGTAATGAAAATTATAATTATTCAAAGCCCCTGCAGTACTGACATAAAATGAAGTAACGTCTGAGACTTTGCGTAGGATTCCCTATAAGTCTGGGATTTAAACGGCACTTAATCCACCCAACTCACCCGGAGACAAACTCTATCGGATCCGACAGATCTAATATCAGTTAGAGATCCATTGAAAACCAGGGAGTACTGGACAGTTGTTTCGTCCTAGTTTGGGACTCGTCGGCAGTACGCAAGTGACTGGCTGCAGGATGAAGATTCCTGAAGTTTTAGTGAGAAGTCGTGACCACTGAGGTCCATCCAGTCACGTGTGAGGATGGAGTTCACACCAATGACATTGGTTGGTGATCGGGATAAAATCACGAATTGGTAGAAGTTAGAATTCATGGGCCATTGAATCAGGCCCTGGTGGCTGAATGGTATACAAGCCTACCTTGTAAACGGAAGGTTCTGGGTTCGAAACCCAGTGAGTGCGTTTTGTTGATGATTCCTAAACTAGGACGAAACGCTGTCCAGTACTCCATGTTATTCAGTGGTTCTCCCCAGCTGAAACAAATAGAATCCTTACAAACTAAATTCTTGAAAATATCTGATCAAGAAAATTAATGTAATCAACGAAATTCCATGTAGTGATTGTGAGGTCAACCATATGGATCAAACTAGTAGATAGAGTCAAACAGATTACCAGATCATAGGAATTAAACTAGTACTAGAATGACTGACCCGGACAAGTAATCCGTCAAAGGGGTCAGTCACTCATATTCACTTACTTGTATGTATTCAAACAACAGGGTAAGATAGAGTAAAAGTATTAAGGTGCAATGCCGTTAGGTACGGAAAGACGTTAATCGCCAAATCATTGTTGGTCGATTAAAAGCAAATGCATGCAGTAGAAGTGACGCTGTTTCTTTCCCGCATATACTGAAAATCGCAATAAAACAGTGGACAGTAAGGATATTTAAGGCAAGTTATGAAGTTGTGTGAATACATGATATGACTATGAAGAACAAATTGTGCTTGTAACGTCAATTAGTTATCATGACTACGTCTCTGAGTGTTATATCAAATAATAGATTGCTGTCTCTCCAGCCTCAATTTTTTTGCAACTCAGTCAAATTATGAAATTCTCTTCTCTGACCAAAGTTATTAATCAATATTTTGACAGTCTTTATGAAATATATTCACTTATAGTTGTTATTGTTATATCTTTAACTTTATAAGGAATAAATCCCTTTTATCTTTCGTATTGATTTCTAAAGGTTATTCAACTGATTATCGAGGAGACTCCAGCTAGAGGAAATCTACTACTGCCTCCAGGAATAACAACAATGTATGGTTCAAAATTATACAAGTCAAAGTATAAAATTTCAGAAGCACGTACCATCCTTATTGTGATTATCTTGTCTGGATTATCAGTGTGTTTAGCTGTTGTAATAATCAGCACAATTCTGTGCATTGTTAAGCCTTGCTTGAAATCAAAGTCCTCATTTCACTTGAAAAGAACAAAAAAAAACAAACCCAGTGATAGATGTAAACATTACACCAAAAGATTGAATACTAAAACTTTCAATCATAATAGCACTAAGTTGACCTCAGTTACTCGTGAGATAGGTTGTAATGAAGACTATGAACATCATAGAAATCGTTCAAGTGAATGTAATTCGAGAGGAAGTGAAGGAATTTTATTCGATCCTTTATCTAGTACTACTCTTACTCGTCATCAAGCTCACCTCCAGAATGACGGATTACTAATCACTAATAAGCCTTTATCAAATCCTAACTACAGCTTAGAACCATGTAAATTGGTTGGAATTGACAACTGTTTCACTGGTACTATCATTCAAAATAGGAATAACTCACCAACAACATTCAATATGTCATCATCATGCACAAGTGGTTTAAGTAGCATGGAACAGGAGTTATGTATGATAAACGGAACAAGAGCTGTGTGTGTGGGAAGAGTGATCACACCGGTTGATTCAATTCAAAATGTGGTAAGGAATAATTCATGTGTAAATGATTCTTTTCATGTAAATGTTTGCTTATTGAATAGTTGTAGGTACTCAGTATTATGAGGTCTGATGACATGAGACAGATGCTTCATTAATTTTACGAAAAATGAGACTTTTCGTATCATAGAGCTACTAAGTCCCACAGTTAGTTAATAGACTTTGGAATATTAAGGATAAGGAACAAGGTAATGCTGTCAGACAGAGAATATGCATTAGGTCTTCTTGTGCTTCTACGTTTAAGCAATCCTTTATATCTAGCTTTAACACTGTAGCAACCCTAAATTTGATCATAACATTATGCATCTGTCGTTAAGCACAGCCAATGAAAACTATATTAGATAGTTGAAGGCAATCGGCAGGAAGCCTTGGACCCAGGTTTCGTGCTAGCTGGCACTCACTAGTCAGCAAGGCGTATCTGCAACCTTGAAGGAACTCATGTCCATTCTGAGATTCGAACCCGCATCACCCAGTGCTCCAGTCAGAGACGCTACAAATGAGCTATTCAGGCTCGCGATTGACCTCCTGTAGAAGTGAAGTGGGTATTTTTACTAGACACTAGTAGCTGGTATGATGTGTCTGGTCCTTTCTTTAATTTAGGAAGTGGTCAGGAAAGGACTAACTGCTGATTCTGAACTCACTTGTAGGACAAAGCCACACATTGAGGAAATTAGCCTAGGAATTGAATTATGTCTCACATCTACTGTCTTCAAATTCGAGGACAAAGTATATGGACAAACAGAAAGGGTAGCAGTGGGATTAACAGTTTCCTAAATCATAGTAGATATCTTTATGGGTAGTTAGAACAATATAGCTCTTAAAGCATTGAACCCTGCCCCACAAATATAGTGGAAATATGTAGATGACAATTTGGAAGTGCTTGAGACAGGACATATCTCTAATTTCTTAACGTAAATAAACTCAGTAGTAGAGGGAATAAAGAAATAGGAAAAACAGCTGTGGAAATATTGACGACAACAACATAAATAAGGACGAATTTCGAGGCATCCACGGTTTTGTCATTTAGCGAAGGGACATGTGAAACACTGACTAGAATTCTTAACGAAGCGGGAATTCGGGTGGGACTTAAGCCTACAAAATCTCTCAGGGTCAAGTTCCTAAGGTTAAAAGACTCTTCTTACCCATTTAAACAAAATAACGTAATATATAAAATACCTTGCAATGACTACGAAGTTAAGCACATAGGTTATATCGCTAGATCGAGGATCATTTAGGTTATAGGAACAAAGAAATATAACTAAATTTAGAATCACTGACTCCATGGAGATGAATAGCTTAGAGTAAACCTTATGAATCCCAAAGCATGCACTGACATAATCACATGATAGGGTGTGAGATAGCTGCAGTCCTAACAAAGTAATATAGATAAGCGTAGGGAGAGGTTGATTACTCAATCTTATCCACACCTACCATGTGCAATAGGAATGACACAACGCCAATACCAGGTATACAGGGAATTACAATACCGATGAAACCAAAAGATAAAAAGTGATCGAATCCTTTAATCGAAGTTGGAAATTTATGTGACTGGGTTCACCACTGTCCATAATCGCTCATCACTTCCAAGTCTTCTTTGGATGACCTACTCATCACTTCCCATTTTGGCTCAACTTGAGCGATGGCCTGCATTGCGGGAGATGTTATTCGTTGGTCTCCTCAATGTATGCCCAATCCATCTTCATTTTCTCCTCTGTTTTTTGAGCAATCTGCTCTTCGTTGGTTTGTTCCTAGCCAGAGTTTATTGTCGCTAATTCTTTCTGGCCGGCTGGCTGGCCATTTGATCTTTAGTATGGAGCCAGCGAAGCAGGCAGTTGTTGATCAAAGTATGTGACTTGTTGGAAATTCTTTTCGTGACGCGCCTACACAATAGCAAATTAATAAATAATTAATTTTCAAGCATTTTATTTTGCTCTTTTGGGATGCATTTCTTTCTTTCACCGAAGTGAATTATAAGAATGAATTCAATGGTATTAAACTAGACATAGTGCGTCGGTGGCACAGAGGTTAGGACGCTCACCGACCATGCACATTGTCCGGGGTTCGACCCCGGGCCACCGATGCACACCTTTACTTTGCTAATCCAGTAATAAAGGTGGTAAAGAGGAAAGGTCAGGCATGAGGCTGGCAACCCCATCCTGTAAAAATAAACACTGCTACAGAAACTTCAAGCCTCTAGCTTGAAGCTCTTGTTCCACTGGGAACGTGAAGGAATAAAAAAGACTAGATATAACTGGTATCGCTTCTAGCAAACTCACCTTAGAAATTAGAGGAACAAAGTCTGATGAATAGCTAAGAGATAGGACCTAAGGAATCTTTGAAAATTAAGCAAAATCACCAGTGCGACGTCATTATAAGCAAAAATAAATCCTTATTTTCTTCTTTAATGTTATTTTCTAGACTCCACAACAGAATTGCAATCCAGTTTACTTAGAATACCCATGTAATAACTATCCGTCCACAGTATTGAGCGCATTCCCTTATACCATACCCTCTAGATGTTCAGCTTGTTCGCCACACCAGCTGGATACTTTCAACCCATCATTCCAAGCATCACAGCCAACATTTGCAATGCCAATACTGGTGACTTCTAATAATCCCCCTATAAAATCTGATTCGCTTACATTTCAATGTCAAGAAGCAACAAACCTTCCAACCTGTTATCATCACCATGATGGATCAGTTTTCGTGTCTTCAAATCCTTTGACTAACGCATCAGTAGTGTTCGACTTAAGTACCAATAGTTTTATTGATATGAAAGTATTGAATCAAACAAATCGCTTGAACGAGGTTACTGATGCATCAAGTCATCCTCCAATAATCAGTGGAGAGGAACAACGGTCGGACAGTGGTCGTGGTGCAAGCGATGAAGAAAATTCTAGTCAAATCCCTATAACTAATGATGAAATTATTTCGTCCTCAGTGATCAATCCAGGTGTTTGTGAACAGAAGAAATTTATTATGCTTGAATGTCAAGTGAATAGTAATACGGAAATTCATTCAAATACGGTGAACGTTTAGAGTTTTGTGTAAGTAAAGTCCTTCTGCGAATAATATATATATATATATATATAAATTCAAAAGAAAGCCCCTTTTCAACGATTTCATTATCAAGTTGTCCAATCGTATATATATATATATAATTTTTTATAGTAGTAATGTGAGTTTTGACAAAAAGTAATTGTCTGTGTGCTTTATAACATAGTTAATGAAATGTACAAATCTCAAAGGGGTATAGAAAAAATAAGAACAGCAAGCAATTGAAACATTCCGCGACAAGATGATAATTATAATTAGACATCACTGGATAAATTATACTGAATTAAATAAGTAAAGGTGACAAGTGAGATAATACCGGAAATCGTTCATAGTGAAATTAATAATAATGATTATGATTTGAATAATAATATTAAATGCATCTTATGGCTGCCATTCAGCGATGAAATTCACACTCGAAAAGAAGAATGAGTCTAATACTCATTTTCTCCAATGTGAACTTGTCAAGGAGGACTGAGGGAACGCTGAATAGATCAATTTATAAAAAAAGTGTCATGGAATGGTCAGCTGAAAAATTTCCACAGCTGGGTACTCATCGGTCAAATACGACATCTGATTGGACCACTTGCCACTCACATTCGGTGCATATGTAAACCTGGTATTGTGGAGGAAGGGCTAAATCTTCTAAGAGATATTCTAATAGACTTCCACCACGTTTCATAGACAAGACTATATAGTCAGAACCTAGTAAATGCTGTATATTAACCTGGAATTCGAAGGTGACGTAGCTGCCGACATCATTAAAAGAAGGGTCTCATTGTCCCCTAAAAGGACATACATTGCAGCATAGTTGAGAATAGAGTCTTCTTTTTTTATTCCTTCACGTTCCCAGTGGAACATAGGACTCCAAGCTAGAGACTTGAGGTTTCTATAGCAGTATTTATTTTACAAGATGGGGTTGCTAGCCTCATGCCAAACCTTTCCTCTTTATTAGTCTTATTACTGGCTTAGCGAGGTAAAGGAGTGGCTGGGGATCGAACACCGGACCGGTTTGCGAGCGTCCTAACCGCTGTGCCACCGACGCAATAGCGTCTTCTAGTCAACCATTAGTGTTAAAGTGAAAAACAAGATGCCGCAGTCGACGGACTCTATGCTGGTGTGGGGCAAAGTATATCGGTTGTTCGACTTGGATATTTTCCAAGAGGGAGCGAAAACGCTGTCTTGAGCGGTTACGAGCAGATGGATGTGAGGTTGTAAGAAGCACATTTGAACACTTAACCGATACCGATCCCTTTATTTCAGTAGGCTCTTTCTTTAAATCCGTAAGGCAAAAAATAACCTACGGAAATTCGATCGCTCTGTACTTCAGAGTCTTCTGCCGTCGAAATAGGATAACTAGATCTCTGTATACAGAAAAAGTATATCCTACACTCCTATATACCTCACTCATATTTTGCCCTATTCCTTTTTCATTTTGTTTATTCAATTTGCGTATTCTTCCCCTGTTATGTCCATTATTTTATTCCTTTACGTTCCCAGTGGAATATACTGCTTCGACCTACAGGCCTGAAGTTTCGGTATCAGTTGGTGTTCACTTTTACTGGATGGGGTTGCTAGCCTCATGCCAAACCTTTCCTCTTTACCAGTCTCATTACTGGCTTAGCGAGGTAAAGGAGTGCGTCAGTGGCCACGGATCGAATCTCAGACCACATGAGGCGTGGTCGGTGAGCATTCTATCGCTGCCACCGACGCATTATGCCCATTGTTCTTATTTATTTCACTATGAACGATTTCCGGTATTATCTCGCCTGTCACCTTTATTTATATAATACAATATAAATTTAGCAATATTGTCTTGTTATAATTATCACCTTCTTGCGTAGTTTTTGAATTGCTTAAATCAAATTCATAATTTGCACATCGGTTAGTGAATTGCAATCTACACGTCAGAAGTGGTGTAATTTCACGGTGGTTTCCTTAGGAAACCAAGTTATTCTAATCACAATTGATGTGATCTGCTTGATACCGTAAATGGTAATCAAGAAGGCTAGCATACCTGCTTATAACTATATACTACCAGTTGGTGCGTCGTTGGCACAGCGGTAGAATGCTCACCAACCATGCCTCATGTGGTCCAGGGTTCGATCCACGGCCACAGACGCACTCCTTTACCTCGCTAAATCAACAATAAGACTGGTAAAGAGGGAAGGTTGGACATGAGGCTAGCAACCCCATCTCGTAAAAATGAACACCACTGCTACCGAAACTTCAAGCCTCTAGCGTGGAGCCCTATGTTCCACTGAGAACGTGAAGGAATAAAAAACACCAGTTAATTCAGCTGATTTTACACCGGGTGCACTGTTAGTGAGCTCGGACGCAAACGAGCAAAACCACCGTCCAGTGTTCAGATCACCTGAGTCTGGCTAGCAAGCACTATTTTTTGGAATTTATTCATTTCATGAAATATTTTATATAGTACATAACCAATTATTTTTTGTCACGGTTCACATTATTATTTCATAAAGCCATATTTATATATATATATACGATTGTGCAGCTTGTGGCTTTGATTTTGTATATCTCCCAATGAGAATTTTCCAAGAATGCATATAAATGTAGGTGTAATAATAATTTTTGCTTTATTCCAAAAACAGTATTAATGATACAGCAAGGAATTTTCAGCATTCAGTACAGTATTGCATCTAATTTACTCAATAACGACAACAACAAACAAAAAATAGTAGATAAACGGAATAATTAATACATAATAATGATAACAAAACGTTTTTATAGGAGCTATGTAGCAATTACAGTAGAGGATAAGGTGAAAAATATAAAATTATAGTAATAATAGTAATAACAACTAAAATAAAAATAGCAAAGTTATAATTAAACGATAGAAAGGGTGACACCATAGAATTACAGAAAGATGAACAATGAAAGGGTCGATTCACTATGCTAATTACATAGTAACTTATATGTTTCACGTCTAACAGTGTCTTCATCACATAAAATACGGGCTAAGTACGGTATTGTAGAATTTTTGTACTTAGTGGTACGAGCATATAATTTCTTATATTGACTTCTCGTTCTACCTGATGAGATACAAGGGGATAATTGTGAATAAAGAGGGTGCAGAGGGTCTGACAGTACGGCCTTTGCCCAATTTTTACAGGAATTTATGTGTCTCTCGACTATGGTATTGGCGAGATCACGCAGTGGCAAACCACAAGCCCTACTCACAGCATTTAATACCCTTCGTAATACGGCATAGTCTTTTTTAAGAAGCCCAGGAAAGATTAATGGAGAACAATAAAGTAAAATGGGTAAAATACAGGAGTTTAAAAATCGCAGAACTAAAGGTTGGCTGATACCTTGTTGTCTTAACTTTTTAATGTAGAAGGTAAGACGAAACATTTTCTTAGAGACCAATAAAATGTGAGATGACCATGAAAGGTCCGAGGAAAGAACTAATCCAAGGTATTTAATGCTTGATTTGGTTTCAATTTCTGTACCATCTATGCTACAGGCATCATGGGAACTAACTAGTTCATGTATGTCACGTCGATGGTTGAAGGTAAAGTTAACTGCCTGACATTTGGAAGGATTTAACATAAGACCATTTGACTTAGACCACATGCTGATGTCCAACAAAAAGCTATTAAGTTTGGAGCAGTCAGACTCAGAAGTGATAGGCAGTGATACAGTCAGATCATCAGCATATTTGACAAAATTGGTTTCGTTTAAATGTGGCAGGTCATGTAAGAAGAAAGAAAAAAGAAAGGGAGAGAGGACGGCACCTTGAGGAACACCGGCTTTTGTAAGCAAAGCAGAAGAAGATTTGCCATTATATGCAGTATACTGCATTCTATCAGAAAAATAAGAATGCAACCAACTCTTAGCCCAGGATGCTGTGTGCGTCAAGGAGAGCTTATTTAATAAAAGGCCCCTAGGTACAGAGTCAAACGCAGATGTGTAGTCTAGGAAAGCACCACGGACATATTTGGCACCTTTGTCTAAACAAGAAACAACATTATGATATAAGACAACCGCAGCATCCAAGGTACTTCTACCATGTTTATATGCAAATTGCTTAGGGTCATTAAAAGCTTTCAATGAAGGTTCAAGACGAAGTAAAAGTAGTTTTTCCATCAATTTTAAAAAAGGAGAAGTAATTGCAATAGGCCTAAATTTACTATCGGTACCAGAAGATTGTTTTGGTATAGGGACAATTTTAATGTTTTTCCATGCAGAAGGTAGAACATTACTGGAAAAGGAAGCATTAAAAATATTAGTAAGAGGGTAACACAAAATATCAGCACAGTTCCTGAGGACAATGGCAGGTACGCCATCAGGACCAAGGCTTTGGGAAGGCTTAAGAGAACGGAGACATTTAAGCACATCAAGGGTATTAAAACCATTAAAATTATTGTCTATGTGATTTGTATCATTAGGAAGGATATCGTCAGAGGAGCGTATGAAAGACTTATTAAGATTATTAACATTAAGAGATTGTACAGAATTACACCGCTTACCGCTAGTTATTTCTTTAAAAAGTTTCCATAAACTAGAAGGGGTTTTACATGACAAAAATCTTTGGTTGTATAAAACATTTAGTCTGTGCATTTCGAGTTTTATCAGAGGATTTAGCTTTTTTACACCTGACTTATCATTTGTTTTGAACAACAGTTCTTTATCTCTACGGAGCTTTTTGAGATATGGAGAAGAGAAACGGTCAAAACGAGTGAATAATGTTTCTTTAGGACAACATATTTCCAAACAGAATTTAAGATAATCTGTGGTGTTTGTGATTGTGTCATTTAATGTTTGTTCTGTAAATAGGTCCCAGTTAGTATCTATCAACATGTATCTGAGTTTGCTTAGATTATCTTGTGAGTAGCATCTCCGTTGAAATTTACTGTAGAGGTGAGAGAAGACACGTTTGTGTGATTTGGAATATATTTTAGGCAGTACACGTATGATGCAGTGGTCAGAGTTCAATACAGGAGCACGTTTGCGAGCTTCATATATA